TGTTTCTCATACATGGACAACTATTTCTTTCTATATGGTATTTCTCTTTTTAAAAACTATTTATTTTTTTATTATTTTTAACTTTTATGTATATGAGTGTATTGCCTGCATGTATATGAGAGCACCCGTGTCGTGCAATGCTGTGGAGGTCAGAAGAGGGCTTCAGATTCCCCTGGAACTGGAGTTAAGGATGGTTTGTAACATCCATGTGGGTGTTGAGAATTGAACCCCGGTCCCCTGCAAAAGCAGTCAGTGCTCTTAAACACTAAGCCATCTCTCCAGTCCTGATTTATCTCTTTTTAAATATCAACTCACAAAATAAACATTCCTAGAAAAGTTCAACTCAAAGCATTTACATGCTTTCATTTCATTTCAAATAGGTTTTACTTAATTCAAACTTTAAGAATGTGTTATGGTTTGAATATGAAATGTCTTTCACATGTTCATGTATTAAGCCTAGATCCCCAGTTTGGGGCATTATTTGGGGAAGTTATGGAACCTTCAAGAGGTGAGGCCCAATGGAAGAAGTAAGTCACTGAGGGATGTGCCTTTGAACATTGCAAATGACACCTAGTTCCTCTCTCTGCTCCCTGCCCACCAAGAGGTAAAGCATGACATCTGCCACCTGTTCCCACTCCCATGATGTTCTGCTCAAGCTCATAGGACTAAGTTATTATGGACTGAACATCCTGAAACCATGTAGTAAAATATATTATTCCTCATTCAAGATGTTGTGTCAAATACTCTTTTACAGGGATGAGAAAATTAAATAATAGAGACTTCTTTATCAAAACTATTTTTGAGGTCACTCTTTTCCAATTTGTCGAAAGATTTTCCTCTAATTTACATTATCTGAGATTGTAAACAATTTTATCTTTATCTAAGAATGTCTTAAGAATGTTTATTTATAGAAGTGTCTTGTGCAGAAGACACAAGGTACATATTCTAATGCTAATTATTCAGCAATCCTATAATATTGGTGCAGATGGTCAATATTTCTTACTGGTTTACATCACTTTCTATAATTGTATAAACATTTCTGTAAGAAGCAATAAAAGGAAACAAAAAGGTAAATCTCAGGGAATTTTGGCCACACAAGTAAATACATTTCTTATTAAAAAGTAAATGTTGAAATGTTCATTTTGTCTCTCATCATTTTCAGTAAAATAAGGTATAAAGAAGTAGATACTGAGGAAAAGAATCAGCATGGTTACATTGGCAAAAGTGAGATCATCTGACAGTTTAAATATTAGTTGCAATGTTTCAAAGTTATTGCAGAAAGATTTGCAGTTTTCATTAAATGGTTTCGGAGGTCTGAGGCATCTTAGGATAAGGTAGTTCACAAGGAAAATGATTAACTCTTTTTATAAAATTAAGGCTGAGTTCTGTAGGAAATCAGAAATTACACAGTAGCAAAAATATGAAAGTTTTGTAGCCTAAAGAATGTGGATTCAAATTATGTTATTCACTAGCTACATTAAGTTGGAAAAATTATTTAATCAGTTTTTAAAAAAATATGTAAGTAGGGAGGACTAGACAGATAGCTCAGTGGTTAAGAATACTTGCTGCTCTTGGTGAAGAACCAAGTTCAGTTCCCAGCACCCACATAGTGGTTAACAACCATCTATAACTCTAGTTCAAGGGGATCAGACTCCCTCTTCTGGCCTCCAGGGGTATTGCTCTTACATGATACACTTACATACATGCAGGCAAAACAATTATACACATTAAATTAATTAATTAATTAACTAACTAAAAAACTATATAAAATTAATCTCTGACTTCATTGAGGAATATTATTATCACTGTGTATTTAAATAATAAAAAAACTATATAAAATTAATAGGGGATAGTAAAAATATATGCAAAATACATGAGGCAAAATAGTATCATAAGGAAGGTTGTGATAGGAATCGCATTCTTGGCTTTATCATTCAATTATTTAATAATGTAGGTACATATATAAATGATAAGCCATTTTACATTTCTATATATGACTAAACAAGATCCAGAGGACTCAGACATACTTGGATTGATTTAAGGAAAGTGCCTGACATTCTGGCATGTAAGATCTCATGCAGACCACTGGAGAAATGAGGAAGCTAAAACAATCACTTACTAAAAATAGAGGTAAAAGGAAAAAGATTAAAAGTAAAAGCAAGAGAGGGAGAATTAGTTTTCTTCAAGGATGTGGTCACTGAGAGGCTGCTTATGTGCCAGTAGATGGCCCTGCATTCACACATTATTGGCAGTGCCGAGTACATTCGGTGGATTAAAAACAAAAGAGAAATAAAGAAATAAGAATACAGGAAGTGGGGAAGGAATAGTGGGGAGATGGAGAAGCTGGAGGGGAAGGAATGGGGGTGGTCTAGATCAAAACACATTGCACACATGTATGAAATTTTCAAACAGCAAAAAAGTACTAATACATTTATGTGTGACCCTGTATATTAAAATATCAAAATATTCTTTGAGTTAATTATTCTCCATTGAATTAGATTTACAGTTCTGACTGTTGAGTGCATTTGAATCCATGTTGGTTTTTTTCCCACCACATAATATATTAACATGGGCTCTTATTCAAACAGCGACCCCTCCCCCAGGAGATAGCTGAATCTAATAAACATGCATGCACAAATGAGCAGTTCACTAATTATTCTCTTTGGTAAAGTAGAGAGAGTTTTATCTTGAATGGAAAGTATATAATATGGCTGTCTGCTTCTATACATGTTCATAAAAATTAATTCGTGATTATAAAAATGTAGAAGCTATGCTCTCACTTTATTGGTTAAAAGGGCATTTCAAAAGGTAATTAAAAGTGTTATTCTGCAAGCAACTCCATGTTAAGTGAGTGATACTTACATTCGTCAGGTGAGCTAGTTCTATCTCCAGAAATGAATCAGTTGTTTTGGGTTCAGGCCTTATTGTGACCACAATGGTTTTGGAATTAACAACTGTATAATTTCTGAAAGAAAGAAATAATGATTAAAATGAGAAAAGATTGATGAAAACTATGATTCACACTGTCCTACATCTGTTAGCATGATGTTAAATAAACACATCCTAAGCACACAGAGATATCTCAATTTTATTCATGAAATATAGAGTCAGTTTACTCTTATGAACAAGCACTGTCTGGAACCAGAAATTTTGGGAGATATAATGGCATTAAAACCATTTCATATGCAGAAAAGATGAAAACAGTAACAACAGTTATGAGATTCTGATTCTTTAAATCAAATTCACCTGCAAGAAAGATAAACTGTGAATTGGAACCTTCAGGCAAACTTTGAGTACAATTCATTTATCTCATGGAGGACTTCATAACTCTCCAGGAGACTAATGCTCTTCTTGACATGTGCTGTTTTGGCTTTTTAAAAAATCATTCCAAAATGCATGAAGATGAAAAATTGAAACGTGAAAAAATGTGAAAGCAAGCAGAGTCTCAATATAAATAAAAGCCATTGCTAATTGTCACTGGTTATTCTTTTCAGCAATAGATATTTGCAAGCCACTGTTTTATTCAATGCTCTCAGTCTGTGGAACATACCTTTCTTCTTAAATACCTTACCAAGTGATGCTCTTCCACAGAGAGTGATTGTGTGTGTAAGCATATGCATCCATAATTAGAAATTGTCAGTAAATAGAAACACATATGCCTAAATAATTGTTTAGAATATTGAAATTTTCATCTGAAGTATACAACATGCTACAGATTACCCACTATTTAGAAATGTAAAATTAAAGGATTTGATTTTTGGCTTTCATATTGAACAAATAGAATATTTGATTTTCCAATGGGCATATATTACTTTAGATAACTCACTTAAGTTCAAACACAAGTTCATTTAAAAAATTCTTTTTTTTTTCAGGATATTTATAACGGAAAACAAAGATCCACTATTCCTAATTACATATCTTAATGCTTTAGCCACTTGCATATCACCATGCAAAAATCTCCATCCAAAATAGGCAACTGCCCTCACCCTATACAGTACCCTTGAGCTACTTTACAGATGATCCCCACCTCTCCCATGGTCCCAGAAAAACATGGACATACTGTCAGTATAAATTTACCTTTTTTAGGAATTCATTCAAATATTGTCATATAATATATACGTATTTATGTTTTAACTTAATTCACAGTATATTCTGAGGTTCATACATTTAGTTTATTATAATTGAGTAACATCACAGATCAGATGTCATAATTTATCTATTTACCAACTAGATAATCTGACTTTAAATTACTTCTGTTATTTCAGTTTTTATAGTTTTTATGTTTGGCTATTAGGAAAAATTGTGATATATGCCTTGTGTGGACATCTGTTTTTATGCCTTGTACAAATACCTGGAAACTGCTTGCTTATAGATATATGCACATTTTCAGTTTATAAGTCACACTGTTTTTTAAAGTGGCTACACTGTTGGAGTTCTAGTACTATGATAAGGTAGAACAACATTGAGGCTCTCATTATTTGTGGTAATTTTTCTCTACTAGGAAGGTATTTAACGCAGAATTTTATGACTTAAAGACCATTTACTTGGCTGTCCCATAGAATGGGAACAAGAAGCATATTTTGAGTGGGATAATATTTTATTCCATTTTTCATACATTTAATAACATCATGAAAGAATTTCTTAAATATTCTTAATTTCTGATTAAACTATCGAGTCTGGTTAAGGAACAGCGAGAAAGACCATTCAAAACAAGGCATTAGTATATTTTATTTTGATTATGGGAAAAGTGGTTATAAACGGAGAGAGCTGGTTAACTATCCATTGTTTCATTTAATCTTAAATGAATCAAATATGCTACATTGTAAAGTTATAAAACCCAGCTATAAAACTCAAGCTCCCTTTGCCAAATTCTTTTCCTTTGTGGGTAGAACTAACCATGGGATCTGGTGAGCATAAATGGAAATACAAACCTGGAAGACTTTCCTGGCAAGTTATCACACTGTCAGAGTGGACAGGCCTGGGGAATGGCAAAATGCCTACAGCCTGAATTCTGGGAGTGTGTGTATGTTTTATTATCAGAAAAAAATCATATAAATTTCTCCCAGAGAAAAGTTTGTTAGTCCTGAGCACGCAATCTCATGTTTCAGGTTAGCCTGAATATATTTGAAATTTGGTTTGGTTTCTTGAAATAAAATACTAATAGATTCTTCAAATTCCTTAAACCTGGTTCTCCTTATAATCTACCTTCCCACCATTGATAAATCTCAGCACATGGTCACCTAAATTAATATTAGAAAATTTAATAATATATACATGCATCATTTTCAATTTATACATGAAACTAAATCACTGAAAAATGGGTATTCTATGTAGAAGTCTGGAATTTTATTAAGGTACTTATCAACTTCTCTTTGTGTTCAGGAGTGTCTGATGATCAGCAGCAAGCAAAGTTCAGTGTGTTAACTGAATCAGGCTCCTCATAACTCAGCTAGTCTGTTGAAGGTGCCTAGAGAAGGGCATCTGTGGTACAGCATTTGCAAAGTGCGTATTGTAGCATATTTAAACTTTATTCCAAAAACTGTATGCCTAGTTGTGTATATGGGCATACCTATCCCATTGATGTGGATATTTCCTTGCTTTGTGTAAAATCATAGCAAATATACACCTAGTTATGTCACATCATCTATCAGTTCTACTTGTTTCTTTCCATAAGATTCTAAGCTCAGTAAGGGCAAGAATGACATTTACCATTTATACATCTTCATTTTCATTATGTTTGGTACATATTAATGTTCAAAACATTCTTGAAATTTTTGAGGGGTAACCACTCAAAACAAACATCAGATTTCTACCAAGCTGATATGAAATGCAATATGAATATAATAATATATTGCCTAATAAAAGAAAGATGAGCAGATATGCACTGTATTTTGGCTCCATTTTACAAAAAGTATATACTGTACAAAGCATCTTTAATTTATTCCATCAACTTATTATAATTTGCATAAGTGAATAGCTGGCTCCCGATGTGCCATGTCAGGCTCGGTGATCTACTAATGCTTCCTGGCTGGGGACACGCTGGTATTCATTGTTAAGAAAGCAGATCTTACAGCCAAATGGATTTCATGACTAAAGTAATAAAGTTCTTCCTTGTCCTTGAGATTTGTGCTAGCTGGTATTCACTCAGAGAAGAATCAACTTATTTTTCACAGTTTTGCAGTCTTAAAGTGTTTAAAAAACACTGTCCATCTCTTAGTGTCAGGAAAAATATGACGTAAAATGCAGTGCAGATGTATATAAGAGTGATTTAAAAAACTATATGCATAGGATGGAAATAAAAGGATGGAGACTATTTCACACAAATGGTAACTGAAGGAAAGCAGCATTGATATTAATGTCAGATAAAGTAGATCTTAAGTTCAAAACTGTACCAAGAGATAAAGAGTCCAGTGAGGTGATGCACATCTTTAATACCAGGATGCAGGTAGCAGAGGCAGGGAGATCTCTGTTAGACTGAGGTCAGCTTGGTCTATACAGTGATATAGTGAGTTCCAGGACAGCTGGGGTTAGAGGGAAGAAATCTTGTCTCAAAAAACAAGAGAAAGAAGAAAGAAAGAAAGAAAGAAAGAAAGAAAGAAAACAGGGGGGAACTAATATGTGATGTGAAAGTAGAAGGGGGGACTATTTGGAGAGAGAGAGAGAGAATATGATGTGACATCAATTCGCCAGTAAGGTATGACAATGATAATTCATGTGCTCCTAGAAGAGGGCACAAATACATGAAGCAAATCCTGACATAAGTGAAGGGGAATTAGTGACACAAAAATCAGGAATCTCATTCCCCTGTTTATAATGGCTAGATGAACAGACAGAAGATTTGAAAGGAAAGAGAGGACATGAGTAACATTGAAGACAAATTGTTCCTAACAGATAGAATATTCCATACAATAGAAGAACAAGGTATTTTCTAAATACATACAGAGCATGCTCCATGACTGATCACCTGTGAAGCCACAAAAGTAGTCCTAATAAATTTTAAGGGTGCCTGAAATCATACCAAGCACCCTTTACAACTACAAAGTCATAAAACTGAAAATCAATAGCTAAGCAAGACTATATACAAATATGTAAAAATTAATACACTCTCAATCAACCAGTGTGTTAAGGAAGGAATCAAAAGGGGTATTAGAAAACACTTTGAGACAAGTGTAAGAAAACACCATATACTGAACTTATAGAGCCCAGCAGGAATGGTAGCAAGAGGAAGATTAGAATGGTGGACACAAAAGGAGGAGCTCAAATAAAAAATCTAAGTTTATATCTCCAGGAACTAGAAAATACAATAAATATCCAAAAAGAAAAGAATACTGTTAAGGGTCAAAAGAAACAACATTGAAAATGGAAAGATCAAAAAAAATTAAGAAGTGTGTTTTGAAATAGTAACAGAATTGACAATCTCTTCACTAGATTAAGAAAAAATAAAGGTCTTTAATATGAAAAATCCGAAATTAAGAAAGAAATATTGTAGCTGATGTCATAGAAATAACGAGGACCACAAGATCTTGCTATATGTAATTAATCATATGCTAACAAATAAGATAGGCTGGGAGAAAGTAGGTAAATTCATATCCATATACAGCCTTTCAAGATTAAATCAAGAAGAAATAAAATTTCTGAACAGACTTATGGTTAAAGGTTTATATGGCTATATATAATATGTAATTATATATTTGGAATTTATAAGGGGATTTAACTAGAAATAGTACATTTGTATACTCTAAATTAAGAATGCTCAAGACCAGATAGCTCCATTGGAGAATTCCAAGTACAATTAAAGAAAAATCAACATCATTCTTTAAACTCTTGCAAAAACAAATAAAGTAGGGGGAAAAAATACTTCCAAATGGATTTTATGAAGCCATCATTAGTCTGCTACCAAAGTCAGGCAGAAGTTCTACAAGAAAGGTCTACAAAACAATATTCCCATAGAATATTGCAAAAATA